TATATGGCCCAAACGCGAGTGTAGAACCCTTGCTTGTCGCTTCCAGAGGCCACATATTCAGGACAGTGATCACCTAACAGCGCTCGCTCGTCGTCGTTCCAAACGGGGGGATTCGACATAGCAGGATGATACGAGGGTGAAGCAGGGGGGGGGTTGCCGCGGTTTGTTAACTGCACTTATGTCTTAATCCGTCTCCTTGCTCAATTTTCAGTTCAGTAAGTCCATGACGACGCCACCGATGAACCGCTGCTTCTGTCTCATTCTTCTGATGCACGTCTCATCACCGTTCATCCGCGCCGTTCGTCTGAAATCTCAAAAAACTTTGAGGGTAGCTTCCTAGGAAGAGCACGGTGCGCTTCATTCCGTCGAAATAAATCACGCTGTTCAACCGCATGCAGATCGTACATTTCAAAAATTGACCGTGACACAGCTAGGATGCAATGTTAAGTTCTACGGCATCAATTTTTTTTTGCCTTTGCTGATTTTCTCTTCCTTTATCGGTCTTTTGCTCAGCTTGACGAATCAGCTTGACGAATCAGTACATCTTCGCGCTCGCATTTTCCCGTGGACTTCGCGCTGTCATCGCAAATTCCGTCGAGGATCTGGACACCTTGCCCAGGAGCTGGTCGATCCGGTGCGACATCTCATTCACTATCTACTGCAAACACACACTGACACGGCGAGCTCGGTAGAGACTCGGGAAACGCCGACTCCGAGGGACAACAACGTCTCCCGTCATCGGCATTTCGCGCAGGGGATTGACACCTCCTGCGCTACGGCGCTCCCCATTTGCTGAAAACTCGACGTCGACGTTGCAAATCTTGGAACGCTTCGTGCTACGCTGTTGTTGACATCGGGAGAAAGAAACACTATCTTCCATCGAGGACCAGGAGCTGCTCGATCCGGTGCGACATCTCGTTCAGTATTTACTGCAAATATCATACCAACACGGCGAGCTCGGTAGAGACTCGGGAGATGCCGACTCCGAGGGACAACAACGTCTCCTGTCATCGGCATCTCATGAAGGGGATCGACAGTCCGTGCGCTGCGGCGTTTGCCGTTCAACAAAGACTCAATATCCGCATTACAAACTTGGGGGCGCATCGTGCCATGCTATTGTTTCAACAAGCAAAAAAGACTCCGACGAGCAGCTTTCCCGGGATCTGTGCGACGTTTCGTGAACTATTGGCTGCTGCTGCCGCGAACGTCGCACTATCGATTTGGGAAACGATGGCCTCAAGGATTTGCGACGTCTGCCGTTATTGGCATTTCGTGCAGGAGGTCGATGACCCTGTATGTCGTGACATTCTACGCCCACCGCAGATCTGATGTTGGCATTTCAAAGTCGAGAGAAATCAAAGTTCATGACTGTGCTTTCAGTACTGGCGGCTTGCACACGAGCTGATCAATTTCTTGTATTTTATGCACAGTACTCGGTCGGTGATCTACCCACCTATCCACCAAGGCATCCTCGAATTATCTATATGTGCTCAGCTTCTCGCAATTCTAACACCGACGGCCGTTGAATCCACCGTTGTCGTGGATCTCTCGGTATGGTATTCCCCGGCACAGTCCCAAAAGCGGAACACTGGTCGCCGTGCCGTGCGGATTTGCGAGGGTGGCACGCCTGCAATCTCGGCGGTTCCAATGAGCCGAAGCCGACGCACCGCTCCGTCGACCGACGCACCGCTCCGACGCAGGCGTTAAGCCAGGTACATGCAGTATAACAGCTACTTTTTTGATCTCACTGTTTGCTGTGGCACAGATTGGGCGCTATCTACATGTCACAAGGACAGACGGCACAAGGCTGGAGCATAAATGAATACAACGGTCGAATACCCGCTGTCGCATTTCGGCTGGATGAACGCTGGCATTGCCAATGGTAAAGTATGGCATACAAGTTGCCATTTTCATCGCAAATTTGCATCACATCGTGTGGTATCATGGAACACGCGGCTCGCCGCCTGCTTCTTTCCGCCGCGTGCAGTGACATTCAAGGATTGTCTTCACATGCGCCCTCCAACTGGATTACGACTTGCCACTTGCAGCTCTCCTCGTGCGTTTACGGGAGCATGTCTATCGCAATAGATAAGACCACGTCCATTTCAAGTGAGCACTCATACTGCGCGCTACATTCTGATTCGCAGAACCCGATCATTCGCGAGCCATGCCGTCAGCACCTGTCCGCCGCATACCTTTGAGGATAAAAACTGGCATGTGCCGTCCACATTGCTCCCCGTTCGCTTTTCCCCCCCAACTACCAGCGTCCAATCTCAGTGTCAGTACTCACTATCTTCCGCGTCGCATCGTCGTACTCATGGCCTGTATCACAGGTCGACATCTGTCATGGAGGAAGGAGGTTATGAATCGCTTTTGAAGGCGGCCGATCAGCTTCGTACGCCGCCAGGGGCTCCGTCCGGAGCTGCGAGACCAGCGCCTATCAAATCTCTCACTGACTCTCGGGCCGCGTTCCTCACATTGTCAGCGCTCTGCAATTTTTGGCTTCGTATGTGTCTGCGATTTTTCTCAGATATCCGCTCACATAATTACAGCAACACCCATCCGTCGACATGATGCATTTGCGACGATTTCATGGCCTAGCGGATTACCTCCCGCTCCTCCTCCGTCGCCCTCCCGAGAATGTGAAAGGCTGGATGAGGCATATCCGGTTGGCGACCGTACACCGCCGCCGGAACTTTCGCGATTCTTCGCAAATTCTTCATCGGACCGGCAGCCGCGCAGGGCCGCAACGCCGCCGCCTCTCCGTTCGCCGTTGCCAATCTCTCGTGTTGTTCCCCCAAACTTTAGCTTAAACCGCCCTAATGGGCCCCGTCCTAACGTCCCTCGCACGCGTGAGGGTTCTGGACCGCCAGAGTCTCCTTCATCTACGTAGAGTTCTTCGCATACTTTCTGTGCTGCCAAGCGTCCCTCGGTGAGTCACCTCACCCATTTTGGCTAACTTAGCTTAACAGTAATAACTTTCAGTCACGATCGTCGACGACCGCCTGTTACCGCTTCTTGCGCATTTCTTGCTCTTGACATATGGGGTGTCCATCTCGATGCATCGCGCTCATCATCCCAACATTGAGACCGCACAGTGAACACTATTTATTGTTCTGATAGAATACGAGGTTGTATCACGTACATTCAGTAGGCATCCCACACCTCCCAAAACTCCGCACTACATCACGAAGCCCGGGTTCATGTATGATACACTAAAAATATGCGTATGCAATGCGATTTGGCCAATTTCCTGGACACATTCTATCATGTGCCAAGTTTCATAGTCCACGGCCACCGCCGAAATCACAGAATCCAGCCCGCTTTTCCACATCTCCAACACATCTCTCGCCGTTTCAGCAATGTCCCTTCGCCCACGAAGTAGTAATATGATTTTGTATGATACCATTCGACATAGCGTTGGCCTCCAGTCAGTCGATGAACTCGAAACAGATATCCGTGAGCACACAAAGAAACCCAGAATTCGTCCTGTAAGGATACGGCCTCCTCTGCACATGCTGCGCAAAGATCATGGCATCAAGGACTACACAAGATGCAAACGGCAGGAGATTCTTGGCACCCTACGCAAAAAGCACGACTACTATCAGCGCTATCCATGTATCAAAAGCATGTCTCGGCCCTCCCGGCGATTGCGTACGCAATGGACCAATCATGATATCTCGTAGCTACATCGGTTTCGGGCAGTGTCGATGCAGAAGATTTCGTTTCCATCTTCGGGCCTGATTGCTCACACCGCCGCGGATTGTCTATCGGTTCGTCCGACAGATCTGTGCAGTACATGCACATTGTTGCACGCTGAACGTGCTTAACACATTGTTGCCTTCAAGAATCGCTTGCCAGTTGACGCACCTGACTGCCCTCTCTCGTGTCTATGCCCGTTTCTCTGTTTCTTGTTCATTTGCCCATGCGTAGTGTAGCCAAATATGGATCACTTCTAGCCGTGAATCAAATCGCTCACAGCAAGCCTTTCATCTATCCATGCAGCAGAAACATGGCATTGTACGTTCACATCTAACACCGCATTAACCTTAGAGCAGTAGACAAACTCGCAACAGCTTCCATGAACATGCACAGAAACCTGGAATGACAACCTGTGAGGATTATGACCTGATCTACACATGCATTGCGAATATCACAATGTGAAAGCGTGCAAAAAACGCAAACGGCAGGAGATTATCGAAACCATACTCACAGAGTAAAAATCTAGCAAACCTATCAGCACGATCCGTGTATCAAAAGCGTGGCTTGGACCTTCCAGCGATTCCATACGCGATGGGCCTATCGTAATCTCTCGCAGCCACTTCGCTCTCGGTCAGCGTGGGCGCTTAAGATTCCGCTTCCATCTCGAACCAAATTGCTCGCGCTGTCGCGGATTTCTGTGAGTTCATCTGATACCTGTGCAGAACACAGTTTTGCCTGTTCACGTAACTCAACATTACCTGAAGGAATCACTTGCGACGGACCGTGTTCATTGACCTTATTGCAATTGTCGACATCCATACACATATGTGAGCATACTCAGGAGCGTCTCCATATGTCCGGAGTATAATAGATCGACTGTCAGCGTCAAGTTAAAGTTATGATAAGATTTGAGGAGATATGATTGGTCTTGCGGCCGTGGCGGTGCTATTTCAGCTTCGCCGATGCCTCTCCAAGCTGTCTAAGTCGCTCAGTCCGGATCCGACGTGCAGCATTTCAATTCTATGTGTCTTCTATCCCGTCCGCCGCCGTTAAAAAATATTATACAATTGTTCTCATCTCCGGATTCCTCGGGCAGACACGTGGCTGCTTGCACGTCGTGTATGTGTTGCTCGCTGTTAGTCTCTCAGCACTGTACACGACATACCATCGATGCCACGACCCCGTAAACTACCAAAATTCTGCGGCAAAGCACCCCCTAAGCCCCCAAATGTGGTGGCCGAAGACGTGAAACTGAAGATATCGGAGAGAACGGGGCGGCTAAGCTCCATTGTCACATCTGCAAAGCGGGTCCATCAGACATCCTCTCCCGCTCAGGATGAACATATCTCCCTAGATGGAAACTCATCAGACCCATCATGTGGTGATCCTATTATTGTAGAAGGCTCCAAGGGCCCCGGGGCAAACAAGAAACGCCGAACGCAGAAGAAAACGCCTACAAAGACCATCTCAGTGAGTAGCATCCTTTGCTTCTAAGGAGTTTGACCGAACCTTCTCGTAGTATCGTATGGAGCAGTGGCTACCCGAGATGCGGCGCAGATTCCTCGACATCCTACTCGCTCAGGAGGCTTTGCCAACCGAAACACCAGCTCCGTGCGAGATCTGCCTGTCAACAACGCAGATGGGGAGTTATCGCTGTGAGGACTGCTTTGGAGAGTGTTTGATGTGCAAGGATTGCATAGTAGAGGCTCACCGCAAGCTCCCGCTGCATCACGTCCAAGTGAGTGAGCGACTATACGTATTGTGCCATCTGACGCAATGCACAGTGTTGGGATGACGACTGCTTCTGGCCGGTGTCGCTACGCGATCTAGGGCTGGAAGTTCAACTTGGCCATCGTCACAGCGAGACCTGCGGTAATCCACATTCGGCGCATCAGTCATTCATCGTCTTCGACGCAAACGGCTACCACTCCGTCAACGTTAAATACTGTGCATGCTCGACTACTCTCCCGTTTGAGCAGCTTCTGGATGTCGGATGGTATCCAGCCTCCACTCAACAGCCCCGTACCGTGTTCACATTTTCCTTCCTCGACACATTCCATCGCCTTACGCTTCAGGGTAAAGTCTCGCTTCATGACTACTATTTATCTGTCATCCACAAGACAGATAATGCTGGTCTACATGATACCACGGTGAGTGATATCTTGTGGATGCGAGCGATGGCTTAAGCAGCGCCGGTTGATAGTCAAGATACCACGAAGCAACCCTAGTGACGAGGCAATGGGCGCATCTCATGGCCCTCAAGCGGGCAGCTCGTGGACACGATCCGTTGGGAATTGAAGCAACGCCTAATGGCGCCCTGGTGGTCGTTTGCCCAGCGTGTCCTCAACCGGGCTGGAACATTCCGGATGACTGGGATAAGAGTCCTCCAGAGCAAAGGTACTTTCGATATTCTTCATATTAATTCTATGGACTGACGTCTGTGTAGATGGATCTACGCGTTATTCCTTGCCATTGATGCCTGTTTTCGTCTGAAAAACAAGGACAGGAAGATCAACGACCCGGAACTCGGAAGTGGTTGGGCATATTACGTAGCTGAGCAGCCGTACAAGCAACACATTGAGTCGTATGTGGGGGAAGAGGAGGTGAGTACGTGCTCGTTGGTGACGGAAAGATGGACCTATCATTCTTCAAAGACGGCAGACCCCTGCGATTCTGCGTTCAACGCAATAAAGCATATGAGCACCAACAAGTCGAAGCCTGGCGTCATGTCAACAAGCGGTGTCGGGGCCGTCAAGTGCGCAAGGCATGCACTTGTCAGACCGAACGGAGTCGCCGATCTGCAGAAAGGCGAAAAGTATGATATATCCGCTTCCCTTCAGTGTTCGATTCTGTGCACTCATTCGCGCCAGGTACGCGACAATGGACTACATATTCTGGTCCACCCTCCTTCTCCTTGGATGCACACTCCCCGTCGTTGTCAGTTACGACATCGCGTGCCAATGGAAAAAAAACCTGAAGAAATGCCACGCCGCCTTCCCGGCATCTTTTGCGGCACTCTCCGCGATTACTATGCGATTTTTCATTCCTAACATGCACGTCCAAGGGCATATGCTGCTATGTCAAACTGTGATGTACTTTCTCCTTCACGAATTCGTCGGCCTCACGCACGCCGAGACCATAGAGCAAGAGTGGGCCCATATCGGAGGTGTTTCCACGATGACACGGGACATGGGCCCGGGTGCACGTCGCCATACCCTCAACGATCACTGGGGACATTGGAATTTCCGGAAGGTCGTCAAGATGGGTGAGTAGACTGATTGGGTATCGTTTCTACCGCTGATACGCACAATCGATAGGTGATTTCTTCTTCAAGTCGTTGATCAACACTCTTCAAGAACGCGCCCGTCACCAAAGAGTTTATGAAGAGCATACGTTACGATTCCGTCCAGAACTCATTAAGAAGTGGGAGGACATGATCCATGAATGGGAGCTCGACACGAAGAAACCAAATCCCTACAATGAACCCGAGCAAGGTGAGTTCCGTCGTCTCTCCTGTATTGCTCGCTGCATATGTTGATACGACACGCAACGTAGCCGTTAATGTAACTCAATTGAGGAAGGAGCTTGCTGACCAGGACACCCAAGACGCCATTATGAACACGGCTACGCTGCATCCTACAACTGCCAACATATTCATTCGACAAGGATTTGCTCTACGAGATCAGCAGTGAGTCCAAAGCGAAGCATGGATAACCTAGGCTAATCACAACGATTGTATCAGATGGTCCGTCGACTATCAGGCCCAGCAGCTCAAGTCGAATGCAACAGACACTGCGACGTCGTCATTGCAGGAGCGGCGCACGGCGCTTCATCGGAGCATCCAGGAATGGTACAACATACAGAACTCTTACATGCCAGCAGCTATTACACGTCGCTCTTCCCATCCTGCAGGTGATGACGAGGCATCTAGCATAAAAGCCGAAAATCTTCCGATTATGATGCCATCCGACATTCCCGCTCCTCTGCGCATTGCCGGCTGTATCGGAGGCGTCATTGACATGGAGAAGCATTACGCCACCGCCAGGATGAAGGACGGACTCATCAACATCCGGCGCTTTCTATGTGTCAGATCTTCTGTGCGCCAAAAGATCAAACATTCTGTGGGGGGTACGGGCGCTCGACGTTCGTATTCAGATACATACTGACACATGTTCAGGCCAGAAAGAAGGCACTCGATCCAAAACACTCTGGGATGGTATATCGAAGAAGCTGCAACAATCCGTCAATACGTACCGCTCCGCATATGCGGCCGTCAAGATCTTGGATCCATCCGGCGACTGGTCGATGTTCTATCGCCGTCTATCCGATGACGATATCCGCGGTCCTTACCGTGATGACGTGCTGACGAATCAGAACGGAGAAGGACACCTTCGTGATATGGACTG